GTGTGTGTGTGTGTGTGTGTGTGTGTGGCCAGCTCAGCCCACCAGGGGGCAGGGTGGGCTGGCATGTGGTGCTGGGGGATTGAACTGCGGTCCCTGTGCTTTGCTAAGCTTGTTTTAAATAGGTGCTTTAGACCACTGAGCCATCTCACCAGCCCCTTATTTATGTATTTGGTATAGGGTCTCACTATGCAGATTGGACTCATAGTGATCCTCCTGTTTTCAGCCTTCCAAGCTCTGGGATTACAGGCATGCACCACCACATGCAGTCTCAGTCACCATCTCAGCATGCCCCAAGGGTGGGGTCAGCACAGCATGCCAGGGATCAAACCCTGGTCACTGCGCTCTGCCTAAGCAGGCACTTTAGTCCACTGAGCTATCTGGCTGGCCCTTGTGTACAGATTCTTAAAGAACAGGGATCTGGAGACCTGTTAACTTAGAAAGGCAGCAGCAGCAAACCCAAGCCACTTACCATTGCAAAATTTTCTAGATAAATTAAGAAAACACAGCAAGAGATTTGTAGAGATTCTCATTGCAGTTATATTGGGAATTATTAGCATTACAGCTATTGCAGCAGTAGCTGGAGTGACCCTTCATCAGTCAGTAAAAACTATTCAATTCCTTCAAGCGTGCCATGAATGTTCTGAAAGATTATGGCAAACTCAACATTCCATAGATGAAAAATTGGCAACTCAAATAGCAGACTTACAATAAGCAGTGGTATTGTTGGGAGATCAATTAGTTTATTTATTTATTGTACGGAACTGGGGATTGAACTCAGGCCCTTGTGCTTGCCAGGTGAATTAGTTTATGAAAACAGTTACAGCTTAAATGTGATTGGAATAGCTCTTCTTTTTGTGTTACTCCTTATTGCTATAATAATACACGGTTCCCTTAGAACATCAAAAAACATGTAATGAATCAAGGAAACTTATCCTTTAAGATTAAAAATTTAGGGGACTGGCCAGACAGCTCAGTGGACTAAAGCACCTGCTTAGGCAGAAGGCAGCAGCTGCAGTTTGATCCCCAGCGTACTGTGCCGGCCCTGCCCCTGGGGTGCACGGAGACAGCGATTGAGACTGGACGTGGTGGTGCATGCCTGTAATCCCAGCGCTTGGGAGACTGAAAACAGGAGGATCACTATGAGGCCGATCTAAGTAGTGAGACCCTGAACACCCTCTAGGCCCTGTACCAAATACATTAAAAAAAAATTATAGAAAGAAATATTTGAGACATTAAACAACACACTAGATTTACTACAAGGACCTGATTTATTACAAGCTATGAGCGAAGGAATAGAGCATTGGAATCCTTTAAAACAATTACATTTTTTTCAATCATCTACCATCGTTCTATATGGTATTATAATTGCTCTTTGCTTGCTCCTCTTTGTAGTCTGGTGACACCAGGAAAACACTAGGAAATACCAGGAAACAGGAAGACAAATTGCAGCCTTTTCTTTAGTACATTAAAACATTGTAGAAAAACAAAGAGGAGGACATGTGGAGAAGGACATTACAATGTATAACCTACATTACCTTACAATGTATAACCTATATGGGACTGTGAGCCCAACCAGGTCATATGATTCTTTGTTTTGGAGGATGTCTAGCAAAAGCTTAGTGTAAAGGGAAATGAAAACAGGACTGCCTTAGTCCCTGTGGAACACTGCTGGGACAGCAGGAGAGGCTTTGCTAAGATGTCTGAAGGAATAGTAACATGATGGCTAGGAAGGTGGTTTCTGGGATAAACTATAATGTCCTCACTAATCTTCTTAATCATTCCTCCCATTTCCCCTAATCATGTTTTATGTTAAAGAATCTTAATAAAAGACTGGAGAATACTGCAATCGAGGCTTCAGCCCTTGAGACCGTGCCCCCCCTCGTCCCCACCATCCCATAACTGTCTCTCTTTTTTCTTTTCATCTGCCACATCCTCATTTTTGGGACCTGTCATCTCAAAGAAACCAACACTAAAATATATCAATAAACTTAATTTTAAAAAAGAAACAATACTATTGTTCTGTGCTCTAGACAGCAAGGCCCCACCTACACTGCTCCCCACACCCCTCCTGCCCACTTCTCCATGCTCCAGGGCTCAGGCCATTAGTGCTCCCTTGAGGACCCACCTTCACACCTGCTAATATCCCAGTGGTTGACACACTGAAGTCCAAATATGCGAGCACGTCTGGGGAGGACGGTCTGAAAATGCTGGCCAGCTTCTTTTTTGGTATGTCATCTGTTAAACAGGAGACACCAGTGACATTAGCCACTCTGCACAGATACGGCTGGGGAGCTGGAGTGAGTCACACTGGCCAGGCTGTGAGACAGCAGGCTGCAGGTGCACTGGGCAACTCACTGGCTTCTTCACAGACCTGTCACTGCTCTGAGCGTGTGCTAACAAGGATATCAGGGGAAATGGGTATGGCGGAGCAGTCAGACTCTGACAACTGCAAGAAGCTACTTTGTTTTCTAAGTAAGAAAAAGGTCAGAGAGTGAGGACCTGCTGAGTCACATGAGCCCAGAACTCTCATAATAGCAAGAGCAACACAGAAGTCCCAACTCAGCTGCTTCATCAAGTTCTCCCAACCCTGTGCAGCAGACCCTACTGCTGTCTCCATGTATAACCAGACAGGTCGGCAAGAGCTGCGGCAAGCCCTTTAGGTTGTGGGGTCCTGGCCAGCCAGTCTGTGTTGAGCCTGCTCCTCCAGTGACCCTAGCCACCCCAGCACCAGCTCCCTGGGCAAACCAAGGACCAGGCAAGCAGCACAGACCATACAAGGCTCTGACTTCCACCAACACAGTACCTGGAGCACAAAGGCTATGAAGGGATGGATGGAGTCCTGTCTGCCTGATGGCCACACTCCGCCAGTCATGGGCAGTGCTGCTAGGTGCTGCTGAGTAAGTACCTCTCCCTGGAAGGCAGTTCTATGCCCAGCCCAAGGCTGAGACACTCACTAAGCCAACCCAACTGCCTGGGTAGAGGGGTTCCAGCCTTCTGCCCTTTGACCTGCAGGCATCTCAGGGGCATGACACTGCTTACCAGTGACGGTGCTGAGGATGCAAGGGGAACTGCATCTCCAGGGATGGGCAGGAAGCTCCATATAACTTTCTGCATGGGCAAGGCGCCAGTCCCTACCCTTCATGCTGAAAGGAGAGGAGTTTACCCCTGAGACAGGGACCCTTCCATGCAAGAAACAGCAGCACCTAGCATCTCATGCATTCTGTGTCCATCCTAGCAGGCAGACCCAGGGTCCATTTAGCAGGCTTCTCACCATTTGCTGAAGCTGAAACATTTACCTTAACATTTAAACTCCACAAAAAAGAAAGAAAAGGGGTCAAGTCCACAGGGCAGCTCTGAGGCCACGTACCTGTATCAAGAATAGTTGGCCAGGTCCTGATGTCCACAGCAGCGGCTGCCTCTTTGGACTTGAGCAACCTTGTGATGGCCTGCGTGGTGAGGACACATGCAGACTTGCTGACCTGTGCCCACAGGGAAGAAGAGCTGGGTTAGCTTTGCCCTTTCCCCACATCACCCTCCAGAGGTAGGGACTCACCCATGGCCCATGGCCTCCCACCCGAGACCTCAGTCGACACTGGGAGAATGCACACCTCCACGATCATCTTAACGGTGGGCAGTGTGGTGCCAAGGTTCTGGGGATGTGGGGGTCGCACAGTGACAGGCACACAGCCGCAGTACAGGCAGCCATAGAAAGCAGCAATGAGGTCCACTCCTGGGGAGATGCAGCAGATGGTCATCACAGGGCTCAGCATGTGGGTGCCCACATCTAGGCCCAGCGAGGCCCACAGATCAGAGAAAGTCGAGCACAATTTTCTTGTGAGATGGCTGCATTGGTCAGCTCCATATCCTGGAGGGCCTAATGAGGGGTGGTCATGGGGTGGGGTCTGAGGATACACAGGGATCCCATGTACTGCCCTGCACAGCAAGAGGGTGACCTTGGTTGAGGTTGAGTGGATCTACAGACTTAGAGAACCTTGTGAGACAAGCTGTTTGCAATGGAGCTTCTCATGGCCACCACAGGTGCTGCACCTCCAGACAACCCAATAAGCAGAGAGAAACCTAGGGACAGTAAGGGCTGGTACTGGCCCTGGACCTCATGCTCCCTTTCCCTCAGCAGGTCAGAGATGACCACCCATACTCTTCTGGCTTTTCTATAGTTGAAGATTCCCCATAATTAAAATTTGGGAGAGAGTCATGTCATGCTTAAACCCTGATTTCCATGGTCAGTCTGATGGGAAAACACATTTCCCTTGCTCCTTCCTACTGGTGTCCTCTAGCACCAAAGTCCCTCCAGCTGCAGTGGACCCCACACCACCCTCACACACCAGCTCTAAAGCTAGTTTAAATGTTCATCTGAAAAGTGGGCCATGAGAGATACATTTGTTCTTGGTATTCTGACCCTGGAGGTTTTACAGGGTTATTGTTCTGATGTCCCTGCAGCTCCCTCTGGCAGAGCAGCTCAGCAGTGTGCAGCATGAACACAGTGCACTCTGCCCAATGGTTCAACCAAGGAGCGTATGTCAGGAAGCCCTTCCTAGAGCCCCAGGGGCTCAGGCCATGCCATGAGTACCTATCCTCTTGCCTTGGCTCCCTGGCAAACATGGCAGGAACTCAGTTCCCACACCCTGCTTTTCCAGCTAGTTCTGAGCCCTAGGTTGCTTACCTCTGAGGATTAGTCCTGCCCCACACCTCCTATGATGTCTACACCCAGCTACCTCACATTCTGACTCAAGTTTTGGGGATGAGGCTCTAGCTCAATGGCAATGTCTGCCTAGCATGTTTAGGGCCCAGCACTGAAAAGCAATTTTTTGTATGCATTGCATCAAACACACCTAAAAGCGAAGAATAATAACAGGCCCCCACATTTACCATTCTGAGTATCAGTTATCAAGATTATATGGACGACCCTCACAGTAGCTCAACTTAGGGTTTTTCAACTTTACAATGGTGCAAAAGCTAGGCATGTTCAGAAGAAACTGCATTTTGCATTCTGATCCTTTCACAGGCTAGTACTATTCAGTATGATCTTCCCTCTCGATGGGGGGCAGTGGCAGTAGGGGCAGTGCAGAAGCAGTTGCACTGCAGCACGTTGCGCTGCCACACAGGGGTGTGTGAGGTCAGGTCTATTTGATACATTTTCAACCTACGTGGGTTACTGAACAGGCCCCCATCATAGTCAAGGAGCCCTTTCTTCTGTTGCTCTTCCTTTACTGAAGTATTTAAGGCGACATCCTCATATTCTGTACTGTAGCCTGGCCCTTCCCTGAGACTGTGTTCAGGAAGCACAGCCCCAGCCCTGGGTTGGAAACACTTCTATCCTCCAAGGCTCAGCTGGATCTGCTCTGCTCTGGGGCAGGTAGGACCAGGAGCTCCAATTTAGTCACATTATCACTTCTTGGGGACTCTGCCCCTCTTAGAGTTGCCCTACAGCGTAGGTCAAACAAAGTCCCTGGCACCTGGGTCTCATGTGCAGAGGATGAGCTCTACTCACCCCTGAGGAAAGCAACTCCACAGACAGGAAAGAGTAAGAGGATTGTAACACTGGTGGGGACTCTACTGCTCAGATGAAAATGTGACTAAGGTCAAGAAATACACCACATTGCCACCATCTCAAGGGAGCTCTGAGACCAAACAGGTGACATCTGTGCCCCACAGGTGCCCCGAGAGGAGTCCACTATACAAGATATGCCAAGGGAGCTGCAGCATCCAACAGATAAAACAAGAAAGGGGTGGTCCCTGTTGAATCATAACAAGTGACCCAAAAGGTGAAGCAAGGAAATCAGCAGACAAAAGCACAAAGGAAGGAAGCCAAGGCAGCAAAGAGTGGAGACATGGGGCAGATCCAGAAGTGAGCCCAGAGCTCCAGAGACAGAGGGCAAGGGCACCAGCCAGTGAAAGTGAGTGTGGAGGGCTCGGGGGTAACAAAATCAGAAAACATCACATATGGGCACATCCCAGCAGCAGCCTTTATCCCTAGGAGGGAAGACAAACTGATGTGCTTCCAGCCACACAACACATGCACACAGGAGACAAGTAAGGCTGCATTATTTCTGTGACACAGCAGGGAGAGGACAGCCACTGGGCAGGAGCTGAGGGGCCAGCACACAGACCCGAGACCCAGTGGGCAACACCCACCCTGTGTCCAGACCTAGCTACCACTAGGACAAGACTCCTGTGCAGTGCCCAGCAGCACAAGGCCTGGTTCCAGATGACCCCAACCATCACTGAAAAACCTGTTGAGGAGGCCCACACAAGGAGAAGAGGTGCTGTTCCAGTACAGACCACCTCCTGCTCAGTCTTTCTGGGGCCTGAAAGCCCCTCCTTAGAAATGAAATTCCTAGGAAGGACGAGGTACTGACTTTTTCCATGGGGGCCAGCATCTTCATGGACAAGCAGGCCTCGGGCTCTGTCCTTTCTCACTTCTGACAGGGAGCCCTGGCTTCTCTCCTTCATCCTTCCCTCCAAACACTGAGAGTGGGAATAGAGTTCAGCTCTTCTTTCCACTGTCAGTAGTTACTGAATAAAACCCATTTTCACCATTTCAGCTAATGTCTGGCTGTGTTTCTCTTTGAGCCAGAGAAGGGGAGAGGACAAAGTGTGCCCAGCAGGTGGGGGTTGAGGGCTGGGGGAAGAAGCATGGGGAGAAGGAGGGAAGGTGTAGAAAGGGAAGAGAGAGGGAGGACAGAGGAGGAGGGAGGAGGAGGGAAGAAGGAGGGTGGAAGGAGGGAAGGTAGAAGAGGAGAGAGGAGAAAAGGAGGGAGGGTGGAGGGTGGGAGGAGAAAGGAGGAGGAAGGGTGAAGGAAGGAGGGAAGATGTAGGAAGGAGGACAGAGAAGGGAGCAGGAGGGAAGGAGAGAAGAAGGGGGAGGGAGGAGGAGGGAAAAGGCAGGGAAGAGGAGAGGGAAGGCAGGCAGGGAAGAGGACAGAGGAGAAAGGAGGAGGGCACAGGCACTTTGTCCTATAGGCTGTGGGTCTGCTCAGCCAGAAGGGGAGGCCCTCGTGACAAGGAGAACCTGTGAGATGAAGGAGACCTTCATCCAGAAGGGGGTGATAAATAAGCAGAACAGAGATATGAGCCATGCAGAACAGCTGACAAGAATGGGGAGAGGACAAGGCAGAGAAGCCTGGAGAACAGGTTGTAGTCAGGTAAAATACTGCAGAATGGAGGGCATCACTGCTCACACAAGGGGAGCATCCATCTCAAAATGTGTTTCACTGCACGAGGAAAATGGTCCACAACATAACAGGATACAGGAGTGAGAATGAGGAAAAGTCAGAAATAAGGAAAGAACTGGGAAATTTTTAACAACCATTGCAAAATGAAGATAAAGCTTAAAGAGCACCAGAAAAACAGATTTAAGATTTAAAAAAGGTGAAGAGGAAACTTTGATATTCAAAATGAATTTTGGTGAGAAAGCAACGTAGAAGAACAAACGAGCACTACTGAAGACAGATGACAATGCTCTCACTCAGGAACACGAGGAACAGAAGTAGGAGGCTGGGGCCGGGGAGATGGCTCAGTGGAATAAGCGCTTGCCTGGCAAGTGAAGGTCCTGAGTTCAATCCCTGGCTCCGCAAAAAAAAAGAAGTAGGAGGCAAAGGAGGAATGTACAGTGGGAACCAGTGAGCCACAGCATCTTCCTGGAAGCACACAAGCCTTGAAGAGTCACATCAAGGTCCCATAGCTTATTAGGGAAGCACGGCCAGAACACAGGAAGATGCCTGAGGGGAGCACAGGCCACAGTTGTCTGTGGAACTGAACTCGTGAGGGTGGACAGTGATGGAGCACCATCAAGACAGACAGAAGGGGGTACACGAGCACATGCGACATTTTCAGCTTTTTCTTGAGACTCATCAGATGCTCATAATGCTGCCGCTGTTGTTTTGAAAAGGCTGCATGTGATGCTGGATAAAGCAAATGAGTGACCACAGGACAGCCCAATCCTGTTATCGCTGTGCCGAAGAATCAGGAGTCTTCAGGTAGAAGAGAGGCGCTACTTCAGGAGAGGCTGGTATAATCCTATAGCTTGGAGTCTGCACTGAGGCAAGAGCATGCATTCAGGACCTACCCCATATCCAGGAGACATAATCATTGGTCATGGGCTTCCCAACTGCCCAGATTTTGCACTAGAGAATCGAAACCAGGGTCCCTAAAGAGATCGTGGCTTCCGTCTCTTGGGTCGGAAGGCATGAGGTGAGCCTGAGCAGCTGGCCTCTGACAGCAACAAAGCACTAGGGACACAGGTGCTATCCAGAGGAGGCACAGGTGAATACCATCAGGAGAGGGGCTGTTCTCTGTCCCAGAAGGTGGGGGAGGGGATGTCTTAGGTATGTACTTACCTGGGGGATAGACCAGAGCTACGTGGTCCCCAGCATCCAGTCTGCCCTTCTCTATCAGAGCGGCGGCCACCCGCTCAGCCCTTTTGTGCAGCTGGACACAGGTGGCAGTGCTGGTGACTGTGCCCTAGGAGGCAATCAAGCCCATCAGTGTGCAGAAAGATGCCTGCTCTCAACTCTGCCTGTGGGATGATCTCAGTCCCATGCTGGTGTCCCTGTCAAGTGTTGGCAGTCGAGGGATGGCATCCCCTATGGCCTCCAGGAGATCCTGGAGGGTCACACCCATCCAGAAGAGAGAGGTGTGAACAGGCCTGTCTGATAAAATATTCCAAACGTAGGCTGGGTATGGAAACAAATGCCTATAACCTGAGCAACTGGGAGGCTGAGGCAAGAGGTATGCCACAAGTTCAGAGCTCCATAACGAGTTCACGACAAGTCTGGCTACACAACAAGAACTTATCTCAAACAAAACAAAACAACCATTCAAATGTAACATGACAAAGAATTGCCATATTCCTTTAGTTTCTCTTTTTTTGAAATAAATCCTCATGCTTAAAGCCATTTGTAAACCACTTTCCAATTCATCTGCTCTCTTCTCAGAAGCAGGCATTATCCTATGTATGGTACAAATAAACAATAAGAAACATCTCTAACCTACTGCAGTTCACCCCACAGTGCTGGCCATGCAGCACAGGCCTACAGCTGCAGCAGCCCATCTGTCCTGAGATTCTGCTGGGGGCATCTGGGCTGTGACTCTCTTGGTACAGACTCTGTAACCTCCTTCCTCACAGCCTTTAGTCCTTAACAAAATGGCAAGTGCAATTCAATCTAATAAATACAAACTCCAAGTAACACTACTACTCCCATGGCTCAATGGGGGGATTCTACTGATGGCAGATGGCAGAGGAGGAGCCAGGGATGGACCTGCCCTCTGTGCCCAAGCTCAGAGGTGAATGCTGCTGCTGCACGGGTCTCATAGTCTCCGCCCCAGGTAAGGGCCAGGGCCCTACAGGCCTAAAACCAGAGGCCCTACCATGGCCACCACCCGTGCAAACCCAGGCTCTGCCCAGGGCAAAGGGCAGCATGCCTTAAGAATTACTTTGAGTAAAAACCTGGTAGACTCACTGGTTCCAGAGCTCAGTTCTGTCTCCACAGCGGGCCTGGTTGCATCTGTGCTCACCTCACCCCCTGGCTCCCATCTCCCTATGTGTACCTAGTCAGACTCCACACTCATGCAGGATGCCCAGGGGTCCTGCCTCTGACCTGCTCTGCTGCTATCTGAACTGCCATCTGGTATCTCCCTGCCACAGGCTCCAAAATATTACAATCCAGAGAAGTCACTCATCCATGGGCAGCATCAAGTCCCTGGCTGCTCATACTTTTCCAGGGCCTCCCACTACACCCTTGGAATAAAAGCCAAAACACACCTTTCCAGCCCACCAGGCACCCAACTCAGAGCTCGCTACTGAACCAGCCCTACCACATGGTCCCTGCCCTCTACCCCACAGATCCTGGGTCTCACTACCAGCACACTATCTCTTGGCTGACCACTCCTTCTGTTGTCTGCATGTCTTAGGACTCAGCTGGGAAATAAATCTTCTCTGAGGTACTCCAGGGAGCAAGTGCAGCCCTCTCTACAGGGCTCAGTTTCTCCCAGAGAAGATGTCCTCTAAATGTGCTAAAAGCAGGGCTCTTCCTACTTGTGAAACGTAGCACACACACAGTGGGGACCAAAAAACATCTCTGAGTGAGTGAGCAGGGAGACTGGCATCCCTGACATGCTCAAGCGCCCACAGCTGCATGAGGTGGCCAGCCGGGAGGCGCACGGGCTTCTGCACTGCTGTTTCTGCCCAAGCCCGGGATGTAAGGACAGTAGCTTCTCACATCCTGGAAGCCCTCACAGGGCTTCTTTGCTATACAAGAACACTTGCAAGCGGTGTGCCCATCAGCAATGCCAGGGCAGTAACCAGTATCTGTCATTTTAAAGCTACCTATAAACAAATGTAAAGAGACTAAATGTCTAAGTTTTACAACATAAATATTTCCCTTTAGTTCACAAATTTAGAAATAGTTAAGCTATACTGTTCTTAATTTAAAATGGATCTGATCAGAATTTTCCTGTTAATACAAAATCAATAGAAATAATTCTGTGTAAACTACAAAAAAACAACAGGGATCACACAAGGAAAGGAGCAGGCAGAAAAGCCCCCGCCCCAATCTCCCATGCAGCTGAAGCCTAACAAGATGCTCTTCTCCAACGTGAAGGTGACAGGGACACTGAGGAGACAACCTGGAGAGACCAGGATCCCTCACCTTGGCATTCAGCAACAGGAACAGTGCGTGGTCAGGGGTGGTATGTGCCCGCCACTGCAACACATCCGCCAGGAACAAGAACTGCAGAAGAGGGGCTCAGCCTGTGACTGCCTCCCCAGCCCACGGCCCTTCCGTCCCCCCAACCTCCAGGAGCTGCCTGCTACCTTCCGCGCCTGGTCACTGTCCTCCAGGTGGGCCAGCTCTCTCCCGGAGGCCTGTGCAATTCTCTTTCCAGCAACCAGGTTCCCAACAACCATTGAGGCTGGTCCAACCTCTGGAACAGGATCCCAGAAAAAGAGAAGCTAACACGGTCTAATCCAGAATCACCTCATGACTTTGTTAATGTGAAATACACCCAATTAGCCACTTATTTTTCCTCCCAAAATACAGGTATTCAAAAAACCAGCTACAAGACTTATGTTGTATGATAAGAGAATTTCTCTTTTAGATATAAACTCTGTCATACTGAGGAATGTACTATGTGATATCTTTCTTGTGACCTCAACTAAATATTTATCTATTTATTTGATGCAGGGTCTCACTGTGCAATTCAGACTTGTACTGATCCTCCTGTCTCAGCCTCACCAGCACTGGGATTATAGGTGTGAACCAGCATGCCCAATTTTGGGGCCAGCACAGCATGTGGTACTGGGATCAAACTTTTTTTTTTTTTTTTTTTTTTTTAGGGCAGGGTGTACAGAGTGTTCAGGGTTTCACTGCATAGATCAGGCTCATAGTGATCTTCCTGTTCTTCCTGTTTTACAGCCTTCCAAGGGCTGGGATTACAGAAACGTACCACCACACCCAGTCTCAATTGCCCAGACTCAATCACCGTCTCAGGGCATCCTGGGGCTGGGGCCAGCACAGCAGGCCTGGGGAGTAAACTTTAATCTGCTAAGCTATTTGACCAGCCCTTTCAAACTTCAAACTCGGGACCTTGCACTTGGGAGGCAGGTACTTATGCTGCCAAGCTATCTCCCCAGCCCCTAAATTCTTAATTTATTTTATTGTTCTACTCTATTTCATATGCAAGTCAGAAAATTATTCCTGATGAAACCTTTTATTTAGTGATATTTTATGTATTCAATAATTTGCAAAAAGTTAGGTTGCAATAAATATTTATATAACTAAAATAATGACAAAATACATGAAACAGTTAAAACAGTCTTTAATTTTTAAATGTATAAATTCAAGGATAGGAAATTAACCACTGAGGGACTTCCAAGGCCCTATCAACCTCATGGCTATGGCAAGCCACAAGGCCATGACAGGAAGATGGTTCCTGAGGAGAGATGGGCTGATCCAGGACAGGCAGTGGCCAACAGAGGCTCCTTAAACCCCAGAAACCATGTCTGCTTCTGAGCATCATGCCTCTCCCAGAGCCATCTCCTAGCTGCCCAAGGCTCAGGTGTCATCCTCAAATTTACCATTAAGAGTGGTCCCTAATTGCAGGTAGAAACTACCACATAGCTCAAATGGCAAAGATCCCTCACTTGGGGCCGTGTTCTAGGAAGGCAAGATGGTAGCCAATCTGGTGCATACACTTGGCACCACTCTTTAACCCTAGCCTCAAGGAAGTGGGTATTACCACTATAGGGTCTAATGGGGGTGCACCCTTGATCCACACCACCGGCTACCACCAACTGTAAGAATGGAGGGAGTCCTGCTAGGACAACTCACCTGGTTGCTTCTGACGAGGTTTGGGAAGGTTGGTGACACAGGTATGTGGGCACATCAGCACATTACATGGATGCAAGGTCCCTTCCAGAAAGCGCTGCTTGGTTTCTGAAACATGAATCCCTCCAAGAGGAGCCTTTGGCAAGGTGTTGGCAGGAACCAGGGCCAGACAGTACACGCCCACCTGGTGAATGCTGTCAATGGCCTGGAAGGGAAGGTCCTTGGTGGGCACATGCTAGCACCCAAGGAAGATAAGAAGTGCGGGTATACCATGCTGGACTTAAAGCCACGAGGCCAGTGAGAATGACACCTGGAAATTTTAGCTGAGAAACTGTGGCAAGAAGCATGTACCCTTTTCTACAATGTGTGATACATACATCCTAATCCTAACCCTAAGTCTACACTGCTATGTTAAAGCTCAGCAGCCATGAAGCAGCATCAAGAAGCAACTTCCCTCTGGCAGGAAAGGAGGGAGGAACAAGGAGGGAAGTCAGAAGTATATGAACATCCTCATGTCAAGATCTGGAACCAGGCTTATATTTTAAATACAAGCAACTTAAAAAATTTAAAAAGTAATCCCTAATGACTAAGAGTAAAACAAAGCAAATGAACTTGGCCCAACCCCACGCACTGGGGGCACACTAGAGAGGCTTGTTCCACTGTGACTTTGCAACCTCAATAGTGCGTCCCACAAGGGGCATGCAAAGGGCGGAGATCCGCAGAACTGTGCCAGCAGCTCTCTGTTACTGTTTGAAGGTGGCAGGAAGACCACCGCTTCGAGGTCCTAAGGGTACAGAAGGGCTTGAAATCACAGTGATTTTGTGGCAACCATCAGGGAATACAAATTTCAACATGAGGAACAAGAGACAAATAACTTTAGAGAAATCCCTGTGGTCCTGAATTTCACTTGGAACTCTCAACATGAACTCACAAAGTAGACAACATCAAGTGCAGAGACAGTGGCCTCCAACTCCTGAACTTTGAAAGGGAAAATGGACATGAGAGCCCAGTACCTAAACCTCCTATTTCTACTGTGGCCTCACAGATCCCAATTGTCAAAATGCTCCTACTGACTTTTATTATTACTCTTGTGTGTGGTCCTGGGGATTGAATCTGAGCCTTTACACTAAGCTACATTCCCAGCTTCCTCAACAACCACCCTTTTTATGACATGTTTTGAGACAGAGCCTCACTAAGTTGCCAGGGTGGTCTCAAACTTGCGATCCTCTTGCCTTAGCCTACCAAGGTGCTGGGATTACAGGCATGCACTACCAGGACTGACTCTCCCATTGACTTTTGAAAAGTGAAAAATCAGTTACCATACACTGAAACACAGCCAGTGGAACAAAACAAAGCTTAGGGATCACTTCTAGAGAATTTAAAAAGTTCACTGCCATCTGATTTCCAGGACCTGTCCTCCATGTTGTAGCTGGTAGCTCCACTTAATCAAGGAATAAAAGAATCAAAATCTTATCTCTATGAAATCATGAATCACAGTAAGAGGACACTGGTGTTCCAAGCAACAGAGAAATTATGAGATACCATGTGACACCTTCCAGGGGAAATTTTGCCAAAAAACTGGCCCTGACCACAATCCAACTTCTAGATATGCTCACCAATGAAAAGAAACAACAGGATACTGGACACATTAAATGACATTCATAGGTGCAATCCTGAGAGTGGTTTATGACCTTATTGTAAGCATAATAAGCTAATCATTAGATGACAGGAAATTTTAACAGTGAAATCACTGTTAATTTTAAAGATGTGCTAATGGTACTTCCGTGGCACAGATGATACCAGATGCCAACTACAGAAGCAGGGTGAAGGGCAGGGCACTCCTCAGCGTGGCTCCATGACACCCATGGCATTGCACAAATCCAGAGCTTCTAAGCTACCTCCCCTTTCTCAGGCGCTGTGCATAGAGCACCTGCCCAGCGCCCACCTGTAGTACACGGCTCATCCATTGGAAGCTGTCCTCCTCTGAGGCATCAGGCCGCTGTTCTGCTACCAGGACAATCCGGTCATCATGCAGCACAGTCACAGAGAACACAGCGATCCTGATGGGGAGGAGGAGAGGTAATCACACAGCAGGAAGGCACAGGAGCTTCCCTCTTGAAATGGAAGAAACAATGTACAAAGGTCTAAAGTTCATCCTAATAGTCTTCTGGAGATTAGCTGACATAAGCTTCAATCCACAAAACTGACAGGATTTGAGCATTAACCCAATCAACCAGGCAGATATTTAAGAGAAAAATTCCTTAATGCTAATGTTGACATGTATGCACATTTCTAAGTTCTACTGTATTTTTTCATTTCACCAGATTAAATGTCTCTTTCATTAATGAGTTAATCTATTCATATGTGCTACAATTACTGGATTTTGACCTTTTTTTTAAAACTCTCTTAGGGAATTCCAACAAGCCTGTGTGTGTGTGTGTGTGTGTGTGTGTGTGTGTGTGCATATGTTGTCTTTTTCTTCTTTTTTTGGACTCTGAGTTGCTATCCCAAAGCCCTTTTACTAGTAGGTCTACAATTCTAATTCTGGGTCATTATAGATTTCTCTCTTGTTCTTTCCTTTGGCCAGTGAGTACACAACACTACACACACACACACACACACACACACACACACACACATTTTCTTTTAATCCAACAGACTTTACCCCTGTTGAATCTTTCTGCTATAACTTTGTAACATTTCTTAAATTTATTTATTTATTTATTTTGCAGTACCTGGGATTGAACTCAGGACCTTGTGCTTGCCAATTCTACTGAGCTATCTCCCCAGTCCTTATTTCTCTTAATACCTTGTCCAAAAGTATTTCAACATAACTTTTTTTTAATATTTTTTTAAAATTTTATTTATTTATGGGGGGGGCCAGCTCAGCCCACCAGGGGGCGGGGCTGGCTGGCATGTGGTGCTGGGGGATTGAACCGCGGTCCCTGTGCTCTGCTAAGCTTGTTCTAAGTAGGTGCTTTAGACCACTGAGCCATCTCACCAGCCCTCAGCATATAACTTTTTTGGACATGCCTGAGGATATTATTTTAACTCAAGAAATAAGCAACAATTTAGATGGATATAAAAATCTAGTTTAAAATGTAACAATCAGGTGTGGTGGTACACACCTATAATCTCAGCTCTTATGAGGCTGAGGCAGAAAGAACATCATGAATTTGAGGCCAAGTTTGTGTACAGCGCTACACAGTAGTCAAGGATAGCCTGGATTACATACTAAGACATTGTCTCAAAAAATAAAAAATAAAATAAAAAATAAAACCTTTAAAGACACCATCACACTGTCACCTTGCATCAGCTCTACTGTGCAGAAGTCTGGTACATTCTGTGTGGCTTTGTCATGGTCTCCTATGAGAGCAGATAAGCTTGCCATGCCCAGGGCACCTGCAGAGCCCAACCCCATCCCCAGTCTGGAAAGCCAGCCTCTGCTTCCTTACACAACCACTTGGGCCCACACATAACCTTTTCCCTGAGCTTGCTGCCTAGATGTTTTTCTCTCCCACCTCTCTTAATAATCTTTCTAAAGTTTCTATTTCTTTACTTCTTAATTAGTTTCTCAACCTTCCACTTTATCAACCTATTCTCCAGCTGTATTCATTGTATTTGTCCTATCTGTTGTGTTCTGTTTAAGCAATTACTCTGTGAAGACTGCATGACCTTACTCCATGTGGCCAAAATTTTGGGTTACTCTTTCACAGCACAGGTGCAACTGGCTATAACTTCAAGGTCCTCAGCTCTTTCTGCCAGAAAAGCAGACTTACCTGTCTACTGATCTCCTCATGCCCTGCTGATTGGCTACCCAGGCACAGGTGGCTACCTTGTCATAGGCCCATAGACACCCGCACCAACAGACACCTGCACCCAGATTCTGCTGTGAGAAGCAGATCACTGATAAGAAGTGTGCCTGTCCCAAGCTGTGGCCACCCTCCCAACCCACAGAGCCTGCAATGTAATCATCCTGAGTGGGTGACCCATATTTTCTGTGGCCTGTCCCCAGGGTTTCTTCACAGAGCAGCAGACCTGTAGCCTGCTTGGCAGAATTCCCTAGGGATTTCTTTAGGGCTACTGAAAGGCAGGATCTGCCCTGGCTCACAGTTTGATAACCAAAGGCACTCCTTGAGAAGTATGAAATTCTAAAAGGCACCAGGCTGAATGGACCCGTTAGGAGAAGGACTTCATGCAGAGCAGAGGACTGGGGCTGTGGAAGGAGCTAGAGGAAACTGCCCTCCACACCCCTTTGCATACTTATACTACAGCCCCAGAGATCCAGTTACCCACTCCATGGAAATGGGAATCTCTAATGGCCCTGCTTACCATGCATAGAAAAGCTGCATGGATTTTATTCCAGAAGGAATCTAGAATGCTGTGCATGTCTCACGAACTCTACTAGAAATGAGAATTCGCCTTCAGTGATTTCATAGAGAAAACCCTGTCCTGATTTAATCCATATTTTTAGGCTATGGGGAAGAAGAAGCTGTTTATATTGACTCATCTTTTTTCAGCAGCTGCCTGTCCCTTGTCCCTTTGCCCAGTCCACTGGACTCTCTCAAGGAATTAAGCAAACTCTTTGGACAATAAGGACATTAACTCTGGAACAGCAAATATTTTCCTATTTGTTTGTGAAGTTTTTCAGATGTATAAGAATTCTTAAGTTGTGTAAGTTCAGACTAACTGGGCCTTGCTTTCACCACACAAACTTCTCACTCTCTAACTAGTGTGGAACCTGAAACCCAGGACACAGGGCTCTACAGCGTATCACCTGCCTCTGTAGACAAACTTCATGGGCTCCACAGCCAGGGCGGTGGCCACCACATCATCTGCATTATGTCTGCGCACTCCCACAACCATCAGCCCATCCAGCTTGCCCACGACGAAGATCAGGTTATCCTGTGGGAAGGGCGTGGTCAGGCCCAGCCAGGGGGAGCCAAAAGCACACAGAATTGCACACCTCACAGGATCAAAACAGCTGCAGGCACATTCCAGCAACAAGTGGGCATGAGCTACAGGGTGGCTGCTGGGAGACATGGGGGACAATTAGGTTGTGGTTAAGTTTGCAAAGGACTTTGGGCAATTATGGTGCTGTGCTGCAGAAAATGCTGCCCCAGGTGCCAACCTATATATATGGTGGGTAGGGGGCCCAGCCCTAGCTCAGTTCTTTAAGTGGCTGCTTCCACAATGCTGGCAGCCTCAGTTTGCTGTAGTTCGATCCCCACAACACTCCAGGCAAGCAAAAGTGCCCTGAAGGCATTCAAGGAGAAAAAAAAAAAAATCCTTATATATATGGTGGGTGCTGAGCAGTAACCTGACCATTAGATAATCACAGCTACCAGCAGCACTATCCTCCCCTGAGCAGAGACTGCTATGCATCTCCTGGAAAGTAGGGGACAAAGTTACCCAGGTAAGAATCTCTGGGCCAGATGTCACAAAAAAGTGTTTCTTTTAAAATATTTTAGACATATAAAATGGTTTTTAAAAAAATGATACCACAAGCAGCATGGAAAGCAGGGCAACAGGGACACACTCATCTACAGCAAAGTGTCCTTTATCCCTGCCCGACCTCCCAAACAAGAGGACATACTCACAGGCCCAATGAAGCCCAGCAGGCCCGTCCTGGTGAAAGGCCTCTCAGAGACAGGGGCTCCTCCTGCAGTGACTGGAACAGTCTGCAGAGCAAAAGGGAGACATCAGCCTGTGAACCGTTACTAGCTGCCAGAAAGAGCACTTTTGCCCAGCATCTTCCACCAGAGGCAAGATGCTCCCAGTCAGGGTCTCTGGGCTCCCATGGACTCTGTGGCCTGTTCACTTGGCTTGACTGCTCCACGATGGGCAGGGCCTCCTGAGCAGGACTCTAGTGGCTCTCACATCAGTGTGCACTAGACCTCTGCTCTGCCCACAGCACCCTTGTGCCCCTGCACTTCCCAATACTCACAGGTCTTGATTTCAAAAGGAAGATCAGGAAAAGGTACAAACCTCAAACACATTCTTGGTGATTCCAAGCAACCCATAGTATGCTGTCCCAGTTGCACTGGAATTCACACAAATTTCTCCAACTTCATCAGTTTTACAAAGATAAGGGGTACCTTCTATCTTCACAATACACACACTAGCTAAAAGGGAAAAAACGAAAGTCATATGAAAGATATATTTAAACAAGTTATTCACAAAACCCTACTTTTGCTATATTTGATGTCACAGAAACACTATTATAGATGCACATTCTTATAAGGAGATTTATGACATGGAAAATATGCATTTCACCTAGTGATTAAGTCTTAGCATTCTACTGCCCTTGGGTTTGATCTTCAGCACCACAAAACAACAAATAGTATGAGTAAAACAAAAAAGTATCATGAGTAATTAAAAAGCACAATACAGTTGGGTACAGTACCACACACCTATAATTCAGCTACCTGGCTGAGGCAGGAGGATAGCAAATTTGAAGCTAGTTAGGGCAATATGGTAAGTTTTACTTCATCTAAAAATAAAATGTGAAAGGGATGTAGATAGGTGGTAGAGCACTTGCTTAGCATGTGCAAGCCCCTAGGGTTAAAAATATACAACACATCCTTCAGGCTGTAACTCCTAGCCATCAGGAGGTTCCTCTCAGGTAAGGACAGAGAAGGCTAGAGGTACTCAGCTGAAGTGCAGAGAGGTGTTGATGTGTTTCACCACATATCAGAGCCAGCTCCTTACAACACTCTTAAGCATGCATGGAGACAGAATTAAAATCATGAAAAGGAACATCCCCCTAACATTCTACTTCATATTGCCCCCAAACTGTGGCACTAACAGTGGAAGGTTGTGTAAAACTGTAGATACAGGGAACCACTGCAATTGGTCACTACTGTCAGCCAGGGCACAGGAAGGAACAATAGAAGGGCTGAGAAAACAGGAAACCCTGGAGGGCACTGCACACACACCCGTGGGCACTTTGCATGTACACACACACATATACACCCCTGGCATCCTCATATGCATACAAGCACCTGGGGGCACTGTGTACACACATGCCCTGGTGGGACACTGCACACACATACCTAGGTTCACTACATGCACACACACGCCTGGGAGGCTTTGTGCATACACACGTACCTGGAAGCACTGTGCATATACATAGGCCTGAGAGGCTCTGTCACACACATACACACACACATGGTGGGACATGGCATGTGCATATGCACATCTAGTAGTGATCATACATCAAATAAGTTACTGTACACACGTACACACACACACCTAGAAGTTACTGCATACACACATCTAGAGAAGTAACTATATTATGGTTTAGACATAAAATACCCTTCATGTGTTCAGAATGGGGCTTCTGGAAAGTAAGCAGATCATGAAGGTGTACACTTGTCAGAGGACTGACTCACTGGTAAATCCGTAGCTGAATGTGTTATCAGGTCTCCCTCTCTAGCTTCTCCCATTCCTGCTTTCTGCCTGCTAAGGATTACCTTTTCCTTTGCCATGTCCTTCTATCATGCTCTTTCTGCCTTGGAGCCAGCCAATCGTGGACTGAAACCATAAGCCCGAATAAAGTTCTTTAAGCTGTCTAGGTGTGCCCCCAAAGCCTTATGTAGTCATGGGGTGGACTTCTAGAGTTTGTGATTAATTCATGACCCAATGCTGGGATTATGTGTGTAAACGCTGCTGGGATTATGGATGTGAGCACTACACCCATTCTGGAGCAGATAGCCTAAATGCAACATAAGGAAGGGAGAGAGCCTTGCTGCCACCACTCCTCCCTTTTTGCTCTTGTGGTTTTTACTGTTTTCTGCCGTCCTCTGCCATGCGTCTCTCTGCCTTGGAGCCAGCTGAGTATGGACTGATACCTCCACAAAAATTGTGAGCTAAATAAACTTCTCCTTCCTTAATTTTGGGCATCAAGTATTTTCTCCCAGCAATGAGAGAAAAGTAACTGAGACTGGTATTTTGTGCCAGCAACAAGAAAGTGACTAAGATAGAAAGTGGTACCAGTTGTTCCTGTGACAATACCTGACCATCAGTGCAGAAGCTTTCGGAACTGCTTCACAGACGTTTAGGAAGGTTTAAATATGTTGGCTAGAGAAGCCCTAGAATGTTGTAAACTGACTTAACAGGAGACTTTAATTGAGCTTAGAAGACCAGAATGCTGCTAGAAATGCAGATAATAAAGGTCAAGCTCAGGTTTCAACTGAGAACAAAGGGTCCATTGGCAGTTGGATTAGAGGTATGTGTATAATGCCCTGGCAGAGTATGTGTGTACATTTTGCTCAAATCCTGAGATTAAGGGTGGTGGACTAATCAATCTGGTGAAAGAAATTTCAAGGCAACTCAAGGCTTTGACATGAGTTCTGCTGACTCTTTTAAAGCAAGATTTATAATAAGAAGCAGGAACAGAAAGCAGAGCTAAATAACTGGAGAAATCTTGTTGGTAGCCGGAAAGGAAGTGCCTATGAAGCTGGGGTCAGTTTGAGCTTAGCTGCTGAAAAAGCAGGGGAGACAGCTCAATAGAATAAGCATTTGCCTGGCAAGCACAAGGGCCTGAGTTCAATCTCTGGTTCTGCTAAATAAATAAAGCCAGTCAAGTACTTTTCATGAGGACAATAGGAAGGATGGCTGAAAGGCATCTCAGGAATCAGAAATACCCTACCCTTTGAAAGGTCAAAGGTACAAAGCTATAAAGCTTTCATTTAAGAAGAGAGTTCCTATTAAGAAGGCTACCTGGGGAATTGGTTCTTCAGGATTCATTTCACCTTGAAGGGGCTCACAGATCTCTGCAGTCATGATTCAAAGGGGCCTGTTTATTGTTTCCACTGGCAGCAGACCTTGGCATCACCTACATGATGGTGGCTTTACAAGCATGCAGAATTCAAGACTTATAGGATCATGGAGGTGTCTACCCTGATTGTAGCAGAAGGCCTGGGAGGTCAGGTAGTATATTCTTAGTGAAGCTGTGAGAGTGAAACCAAAAATATAGTAGAGATTGCAGGAACATGGAATATCTGCTGAAGAAATCCACAGGTAGTGAGTGGAGCCTGCCCGGGAAAACTGTCATGTGGGCTGCAGTCAGCAATGGCATAGAGAAGCCACAAGTAGCAAAGCCAGGCCCCAAAGAGCTCACATCGTGCCACAACTTGCCCTAGGTGCTGGATACAGAGCTGCAGGATTTAACATTTGCTCTGCTGGTTTTTGGTCTTGCTTTAGTAACATTCTTTTCTATATCCCAGTTTCTCCCTTTTGGGATGGGAATGTTTCACCTATGCCATTGTGTGTTATGAGTATTTACTTCCTAATTTTTACAGGGGTTTACAACTAATAATTTACCTTGAATCTCTGAGGAGACTTTGGACTTGGACTTTTCAGCAATGCTGGTACTGTTAAAACTTTGGTGTCTCTTAGAGACAGATGTAGTGCATTATGAATAAAAATATGGACGTAGGTTTTTTGTGGATCAGAGTACAAAATGTATGATTTAGATGGAAAGTGTCACATGTGTTAGAAATCTCATGTGTTCAGAGATAGGGATCTGGAATAGAATGGATCACGGAAGCAGTACACTCATCAGATTAATCCACTGATAAATCCATAGCTGAATACACTATGAGGAGGTGGGGCTGCCTGGAAGAGACGGGTCACCAGGGATATGACTGGAAAGCTGTAGTTCCCTCTCTGGTTCATTGTGTACATGTACATACCTCCCTAGGGGCACTGTGCAGGTACACACCTGTGGGTCACTGTGTACTCAAATATGCTTGGAAGTCATTGCACACATACATGCCTACAGGTTACTGTGTACATGCACACACCTAGGGTTCATGGTACACATATGCCCAGATGTAACTGTACACACACACCTAGGGGGTCACTGAGCACTGTGTACAGACACGTGCCAGAGCTCAATGTGTATGTCCTGTTGTAATCTACAGTGATACAGAAAAAAGAAAATGAGTGTACCTATGGGCATTTTCTCTACTTATTCAAAATAATTACCCATCACATTTTCCACCAAGCTTTCAAGAGTTACTTGTAGTCATAATAAGTACATATGTTGAGGCTTTATTCTCTGGTATTCTTAAAAATGTTTAATCCACAGGTTCAAGCATTCTACAAGACTCATCCTTCTTTTGTGAGGTAAAGTCACCTGTAAGCCCCAGAGGGGCTGTCACAGGAAGAGAGGAGTTTGAGCAGCAGTGTGAAGTTGCAGTGAGGAACAACCACAGAGCAGTATGAATCTCCCACTCCTGAGTATCGCTGTGGCTTCAGGCCTTCCCTATTTCCTCGCTCTGCCTTATTTCCTCAGTGGAACTTTGCATCTGCAGGGAGACCACCCTATCACCCCCTATCTTGAGGGCTGGTAGGGATACCCCCAACAGACTATGACTTTTAGGACCCCTGGGTCCAACCTCTTGAGAGGGCTCATGTGGATTTTGCTAGAATGCACAGGAATTTCCAAGAGGCTTCTCTATCAGGCTCCTACCATGTGTACTTGATACAACCTACTCAGTTAACTTAGTCATCAAGTTGTTCACAGATACTATCTTTTCCTCAGAGGTGCTCTGAACAGGTTGCTAGGGGTTAAATGCCTTAACAGGTGTGAGGCTTGAGGACCACCTGCCTGGTTAGCAGTAAGCTGCCACCTCCATGCACCAGCATCAAAGAACTGCAAAGCAATTTCACAGGCCATAGACATGCCTATAGTTCTGCTTATCTTTCAATTCAATACAATGAGACAAAATGTTGAAAAATATCTTATAAGCTGAACATTTTTAAAGGAAATCTTACTTGTATGCATGTTTCTAGAACAGCACTACAAAGCCTGTAGCATTGTTGACCCTGCTTATTGTATCAATTCGTTACACGATACAGATACATCTGGTTGCTTCTTACCTCCAGGCATCACCTGGCCAACATCCTGAACAGTCAGGACTGACAACTTCTCTTCAGTGTCAACTCTGATCACACCGTAGCTCAGGCCATTCATTGACAGAACAGCTTTTCTTGGAGGAGGTCCGCCCAGGTCAGGTGGTCTGGAATATGAGCACCAGCAGGCTACCTGAGTAGGGGCTGGATGACCCTTGAAGGAAAGGGCACTGATGGCACACCTTAGCCACACCACAATTCCACACCAAAGAAATGCCAATGTCAGGAACTTGTATGTCCTACTGACTTCAAGACGAAGGATCCAAACATTTCTTCAGTGTGTGCTTGGAGGTGGCTATGGCTGCAGGGCAAGGGGTGCCATTCCACAGCCCAGGAAGGTCATTCAAAGTACTCAGTTTCTACTGGTCATCTTGGGGTATTCACCAGGTGAGCAGAATGACCAGCAAGGGTCACCAGGCTGTGACTCACTCAAGGGACAAAAAGGAGAGGATCTGAGATGTCATATGCAGAGCTTTGAAAGCCCCATAGTTCCAGACTCCATCTCCCTATACCACAGTGGCCTAGCAGAGCCCTTTCCAGACCTCAGTCCTACAAATGACACTGGAGGAAATACAATGGCACCATTCTAAGCTTTGAAAGCTGGGGTGAGCCATTAGCCACAGCATCAGGAAAACCAGGAGCAGCACTGGGTGTGGGGGTGGCAGGTGCTGGACAAACCCCATGGCTAAGGGCACCTCCCTCAGAGTGAAGGGCAGTTCCTTACTTACAGGTTTACTATAGCTAAAGACAGCATGGCAACTTCTTCTTGATGTGGAAAAAAGTACTTAGGAAAATAAGCCAGCACACTGCAAGAACCCCATACTCAGTCCAAGGACCTAACTCTGTGTGCAAGTCTAGGCTGGGGAGGGCATGGGGTCTGGACCACACCACTGCTGTGGCCCACACCAGTGGGCTGGCACACTGATGGGAACAGGTACTGCCTTGAGACTCCTATTGTTAGAAATGAGTTAGCAACTGAGTGCTCCCAAGATGCAGTAGGTGACAAGTTACCTGCGGATGGCAACTGTCAGGCCCTCTGGAGAACAAGCACAAGGGCAGATGGCCTCTGGCCTCAGGCCTCTGCACTGGAACACATTGAGGAAGGCATCACAGGAAGATATAGACCCTGTGCAAAGCAAAAGGACCATGAGAGGAAACTGGAGCCAGCACCCAGAGGGCAACACCAAATCTCCAGGATACCATACAGCTCTGGTGTCTGCAAACATTTTCTTTGTTCCACCTGCAGCAAGCCTGCCACAAGGCAAGCTACACTCCAGAGCAGCAGAGCCTAAGAGACTAGAAATTCCTGTCAGCCTGGTATGTTCCTGAGGCCCTGCCCTTAGCTGCCTTCTAAAAAATAGCCTCCTTCATGTCATGGGCCACAGAGTCTCTAGGGCAACTGAGCAAATCTGTGGCTCAAACCTTCCATGTCCCCAAAATCCCCAACTTGGATGCCTGAAGTCTACAGTGCCCTCAGAGCTGTACAGTTTGCATGGCTGGCTGCAGAGTCACTTCTGCATCTACCCAAGAACTGTCCCCCCTCTCCTTCAACATCTTCTCTTCTGTGGAAGCTCTTGTCACCGTAGGGTGACTTAGAATGGCAGGCCTAAGGAGTGGATGTTAAAGTGTGAACTCCCAGAATTCAAGGTGCCACCACCCTAGTACCACTGGGACCCAAAAAACTCATCATAAATATCTTGTAACATAGGACAGAACAAAAAGGAGTAATTCATAGTGGCTCTAAGACTTTGTGTTCTTAAGGGAGGAGATGTCTTCCAAGGAAACGTTCCTGCTCAGACACATCAGTCTGCACCATCGGATCTGAGTGCAGATCCGATGAGTGCACCCCCACTCCCAGTGCCTTCTGTGGCCACTGGCAATCCTGCTGTGGCTATATACTGTCCATGTTCCCTGAAATACATGCAGCTCTCCTATCAGCCTTGACATGCTGTTCACCTGCTATCCTTCAGGATGCCCATCTGTCCCTCATGCCCTGAACAAGAGGATCTACTCACATGGGTTGGCACCATCGGCCACAATCAGCATGCGCAGGGAGCTGAGGCTGACATCCCTCTGGCCTCGCTGAGCTAGGAGTGACCAGTGCATGTCACGAGACTTCACCAGTGCGGCTCGGGCTGCAGAGAGGGCACCATCTGTGTCACTGCGACGGTAGGCACCTTGACACTCCAGACTCAAGCAGAGAGGTAGCACAGAGGGCATAGGTCCTGCTGTCCCAGGTCACATAACTTGTCTGCAGCACTTTCTCATGTGCTATATGACCTACTTTAGTCCTCAGTCCTCTGCCTTTGGATGTTAACTTTGATATAATGTGGATGCAATCCATACGGGCATTTTCAACTTTGTTTTTTCTCAGAAGCTCTCTTTTGGGCTGTGCCCATCTCCTCATTTTATCTCATTCCATTCCCCACTGCCTGCACCACTATATCACCTAGTTACCAGGTTGTGAGGTGAAAGAACCCTGAGATTTGAGCACATGGACTTGGCCCTTAGTGCTGACTGCACTGTCCAGTGGGTCCCAACCACTTCTCCACAGGACAGGACAAGCACACACTACTGCACTTGGGTGCTGTCCTAGAGACCTGGTGGAGCACCACTGTCACTACAGGCAGGCACACCAGCACAGGTGGCTGGGGCTCCTCACCCACACTGCAGTTCTACATACTGCCTTTGTTCCTCTGAGATTTCTTACAGAAGGGTGAGCCAAGGGAGGCATGCATCACCTTTGTAGGAACACACTTTCTGAATCCAGGAGAGTGGATTGACCTTCATCAGTGCATAAGGGATGCTGACCACGTGCATCCTATTCATGACACTCTGAGAGAGAAAGAAAGATAAACCCACCAGGATAAGCAGAATCAAGCCACACCAGAAAAGCAATACCAAACCAACACACCCTCACATCTATATTCCAGAGGCTTGGCTCACTGCTAGGTACAAAGCCAGTCATTAGCAAACAACACTCACTGTTAACACTCCATGCCACAGACCAGCATCCCTTTTGAAGTCCAACACATTTGTTAATGTCTCAGCTGAAAGCAGACAAAGAAGGTTAAACCAATGAGTAGCACTTTGCAAACTGCACATTTTCTAGAGAAATTCTAAGATGGGTATATCACAAACATGTAAGGGTTTAAGAAAGTAGGTACAGCATTTCCAAACACCATGCACCAACAACTGAATAATCTTTATTATCTAATGAAATTACTGGAAACATATGATCTTGGACTGAAATACAGGATAATCCTCATGAATCTGAAGCCACAGGGAATATCATGTACTAAAGCAATTATGATATCACCATACACTTCACCATGGACACTCTCATTTCTCAAGTGTCACACTGAGCGAGGCCCCTCCACCCCTAGCTCTCACACCCAGAGGCTGTGTCTCCTTCAGATACTTGCACAACCCTCTGCTCAGCCCCAGCCAAGTCTTCTGGCTGCCACCTCACACAGGGAGGAGATAGCGTCCAAGGCTCGGACAGATCTGGCTCCTCTCCAAAGGCCATCATTCCCCCAGGGGTTCCTAACACAGAGCCAGGCTGAACAAAGGGTTCTGATTTATGTGCCAGGAAGTGCTGCTACACTCTGAATATCAATGGTACAATGCCCTGTCTTGTCAGCTACAGAATCCAAATTAAAGGTAATTACATTACAGCTGAGAGGAAAGAACCCACAGAATGTGATTTGATAGATCTAACTTAAAATTATTAAAACCCTTGGAAATGTCTGAAATCCTTCTTCAAATCTCCACAGAAATCTAGTATATTGTAAACATTTAAATAAACACCCAATTTTACTTTCCAGTTTTATTCAATTCTAGCATTGCAATGTAAGAAAACTACCATGAGTATAGTTTTACAGTTTTTAAAAGTTTTCATACTATATTCCATAAACATATAATCATCTATCACTATAAAATATTAATTTAAAAGTATTTCTCTAAGTTAAATATCTGATGTTTAACAGTAAATTGGGAACCGTCTGTACTATACTTTACCAAGTGACAAATGATGACCAGACAGATTCCACTGAAGTGTTTACATGCAGGAGAGCTTAAGCCAAGACCACCTTCACAGATAACATGAAAGCAAACATGTCTCAAGCAGTTTTCCACCCTTCATAATGCAACACATGCAACCCTTCAGTACCTCAGGATAAACCAACCCACTGTGTAAATACATCACTGGTTTGTAGGTTCATGTTCCCTAAATCAATATGCACACGATCTGACTTAAGAGAGCCCTAGTGGGGCTCCTCAGGCTCAACGAGACACCTTGCGCTCCTGAGCAGAGAGCCTGCCATGCCACAGGACAGCAGCATCCCTGGGCAGCATAGCCAGACCAAAGGACAAAGGCACGACCCAGGCTGGGTGCCACATGGGAGTAACAGTACCCAGGGTGTGATCGAGTACGTCAGATCTATGCAAGGCAGGAGGAGCTGGCACCCACCTGCACCCTTACCTTCTGAATATCCGCATGCCTGGGTCAGTGCCCGGCACTGTGCCAGTAGAGACGCATGGGAAACCGTGATACCCACTGTGCTGCCTTCTTTGCTGGTTTTATACTGTAAGATTTCAAAGGAAAACAATGTTATATAGTATTTCCAGAAAGCACAGTGGGCAGAAGGGAGGCTGAAAGAAATTTTAAAGCAGCAGCTGAGGTTGTTTCTCCACCACTGGCCACCTGAAGTACTTCACACCCCAGTTCTAAGGTATCCAGAGCACAGGTGCCCAAGGGATGAGGGCACATGCTGTACTGTTGCTGTCTGCACTCCTGGGACCCAGCAAGAGGGGAAGGAGGCCAAAGTAAAACTTGAAAGGATCTGAATACAGAAATTGTACATAGCACTATGTACTTCTTGGAGCACAGTTAAAATGAGAACTCTGCCTTAAAGAAAGAAGGAAAAAAAAAAAGCAGCTATCTTCATATGAAAAACCTCAAGTCTATGGGGACATGTCTGTGTGCTGAGCAGCACCTTTACCTCAATGTAGGCAGTCCCAGCCTGTGTGTCCTGGGCCAGAGGGTGCCAGTCCTTGGGGGGCTTGGCCAGATGCTTCCCATCAATCACCAGCCAGGCAAGGGGAGGCCAGCCTATGACAGCAGACAGGGAACATGCATCACGGGCAGTCAGAAGGCTCTACTCTCCACACTTGGAGCCTGTGTCCTACATGTAGTCACCAGTCTTGGGGAACTTAGGAACTCAAATTTTAGTCTTATTCATTTTGATTTACATAGGCACATCTGGTCAAAGATCACCACAATGGACAGCACAGGGGGAGATACTGAAGTAGATACCAACCAAGATCCAGGGCCTTGAACAAGGTATAACTTCTGATGAAGACCTATCAGCACTGCACTGTTTCATTTCTGGACTGCTATTCCTAGAGGGTGCAGGTTAACAGAAGCCAAAGCCCCGACTCTTCAGTGTCCCTGGGGGCCCATACCTTTGAAAGTGGCCACTTCTCCTGTCTGTGCCTTGGGCAGGCCCTTCTGACAAGCATCTGTAGTGAGAGCAAGGGTGACTCCACAGCTGCCCAGCAGAAACCCGACCTGCTGGCTGCCTGCATCCTGCAGAAATAGCAACCACAGTGAAATGGGAGGCTATAAGGAGCCACATCCAGCCACCAGTGCCACCAGCACTCCATGCCATAACCGAGAACAGAGCTCTTTCCTTCACTAGCCTACTACTGATATATAACTGCATTTTCATGGAAATAATTCATAAACTATGACAATTATTTTTAAGTTTAAAGACATTTTTGTTTTTGCAATGAAATATGATGCCCTAGATAGTGGGCTAATTTTTTGAAGTTTATTCTTTTTTTTTCCTGTATTTTAGGGAAGAGCATACAGGGTGTTCAGGGTCTCACTACTAGATCAGACTCATAGTAATCCACCTGTTTACAGCCTCCCAAGAGCTGGGATTACAGGTCCGTGCCACCATGCCCAGTCTCAATCACCATCTCAGGGTACCCTGGGGGCGGGGCCAGTATGGCAGGCTTGGGGATCGAAGCCCCAGCCACTAAGCCTGCTTGCAGGCACTTTAATCTGCTGAGCTATTTGGCTGGCCCTTTGAAGTTTATTCTTTTTTTTTTTTTTTGCGGTATAGGGGATTAAACTCAGGACCCTGTGCTTACCAGACAGGCACTTAGCCCTGAAGTTTATTCTTAAAAAAGATATTTAAAAAGCATTTTACTGAACTCTAAAAATAATGCCATTGAAATTTCTATTATAGAGTCATGTTTGAAATTTCCAAACTAATCAGGGAGACCTGATGCAACAAGAGTAATCATTTCCACACAGGAACACCTCTCCTTTCACGCAAGTTTTCCTTTGTGCCTATCCTCCATCCAAACTCTATCATTTTCCCCATATGAGTTTCATAAATCTCTAGTCTCTTTCTTAAGAAACACTGTATTCAAACACCTGATGTTTATTTACCAATTTTATTTGAGGGAATCTTATACACTGGTTATTCGAAGTGTTCACTTTAGCACCTCGAACACAGGGATAGGGTGTGTTATGGTTTGTTATAGGTGTTCCCTCAAAGCCTCATGCAGTCAAGAGGCGCCTGTTGGAGTTTGTGATTGATTATTGTGGGTGTGATCTGCATTACAATATAAGGAAGGGAGAGAAGCTAGCTGCTTGAGCTGCTACTACCCCTCCCTTGCTGTCTTGCTCTTTGCCTCCTGGCAAGGTTACTTTCTGCTATGTGTTGCTCTGCCTTGGACCCTGTTGAATATGGACTGAAACCTCCGGTAACTGTGAGTAAAATAAAAAGGATTTTTTTTTGGCCTGCTCAGGATGCCTTAAGGGCAGGTCTGGTAAGGCATGAGGATCTGGGGATTGAACCACAGAATTCTGAGCCTGACTGCTTTGCTTAAGCAGGCACTTAAACAACTGAGCTAATGGTCAGGGCCCCTGTGAGCTAAAGAAACCTTTTCTTCCTTCATTTTGAATGTCAGGTATTTGTCCCAGCAACAAGAGAAGAGTAAATGAGACAGGGTGATAGAAAACTCAACTTCTACAGAGATATGTTTCGATAATCAGTCACTGATATTTGTATCTAAAATGGTATGGCTACCTAGAACAGGAGCAAATCCTCCACATTAATAACTTATCAGCAATGAAACTACCATTTCTCATAAGTAAACAGAATGTACAAGAATTTTCATTTAGCTTATTCAAAACTAAAATCATCAACAATCATATGGTTTTGAATAAATGCTCATCAAAATCTGGTTAAATCACAAACTCTGACCATTTGTAGGAAGCTTTTCCTGGTCCTCATCTTGGTCCAAGAAGTCTGTATTTGTAATCCCAAAAATATATTATTGGAATCCCACCAAGTTAACTCTAATCTACCACTCCCAGTGCAATCCATGGAGAAAATAAAGACACTAAAGCATATTTATAATTATGGGGGGCCAAGGGGTCCTAAGTCCAGCCACAAAGATGGCTTTCTAGAACAAGAGGGCCAATCCAGGCCCGAACCTAACTTTTATTCAGTCATGAAGGAGGAGTGGCTTGAGGAAGGATGACTGAGAACTGTGGGAAGTAGGTGAATAATGTGAGCTGACCTAGGTTGGTGACCTGCATTTACCTCTGTCATATGCAGAAAGGATATGCAGAAAAAGTAATTTATATTATACCACTGAGATGGTATCTAATGTTTTGAGGTTTGGTGCTGTAGCTCTGAAGTGTAATCTTTCAAGCCCCAGGAAGTCATTGCCTCGATCTGCAGGCTCCATCTCAGCCGACAGTGTGGAGCATTTGGCTCTTTGTCCTGTCTCAACCCGGCTCATATCAAAGAGCAGCAGGTATGGGTTATCAGGGAAACACCTGTGGTCTTCAAAGACCACCACCAGCACCCCAGCCAGACCAACATGCACTGCTTAAGGCCAAGTGAAAGGATAAAGAGAAGTCCCAGCCAGCTCTGTACGTATCAATGTAATGAAATAGGATTAGGTTCATCCAAAATGGAGACGACTGCTCGTTTTTTAAGGAGAGCAGCTCAGGTGGTCCTCCACAACCGCTGAAGGGGAAATATGCCCATCATTTCTGTTGGGAAATTCAAATGGGTGATAGGATAGTTCACCTAACCAGAGCGCACCTGGAATATGCGCCAACAAGGAGTCTGCAGACAAACTGTATCTAAGTGCTCTTGGCGTCCTGCCTCGCTCATTTGCCACTGACAATCTCATAGGAGCCTCTGGCTGCCCAGCTGCACCTCAGAGGGAAAGAGAAGGGAGCACCGCAGCCTGGAGTACCCAGAGCAGAAAGAACTGCAGGAGACAGCCTTAGGTCTGGCACAAGTTTGGTACCTTTCTTGTTAACGGCACTTCTATGGGGACAGGAACCAGCTCCGCCAGGAGACACCCATAAAATGCAACCATGAACATCACGGGATCACTATTTGGAAACACGAGTGCCACCTACAATAGTACAAAGAAAAGTTATAAAATCTATTAAAGAATGATTCTTTTTAACTTATAAAATCTCTCTTGACCAAATGGGACTTGGACATTTCACTTTTTTTGGTTCCCAAAGTTCATTTCGGAAAACCTAATCTTGGAATTAATTCTTAGTCTTTAGCCTATGTTGGCTGGAGAACTATATCCAGTTTCTGTCGACACCAGCTGTCATTTACCATCAGTTTTACCAATTCAAAAGTGGACAAAGAGCAAATTACATCTAAAATAACAGCTTCCAAAAAAGCAACCACCCTACACTCAAAAGTTCTCAGTGAACAGATCTACCCAGGATTCGAAGCTATGTGCATAGGATGTGGACAGGGAAGACCTGAGCACCAGCTTCTCCAGTCCCACACACTCTAGGCCCTCCCTCTGCACAGGGCTCTACATAGATTATCAGTTCTTCTTTATTTCACTTATTTTTCCATCTGTATCAAATATTCCAAAAATTGTTTAAAATGACAAAAATGCTAATAAACAATAGCCACATGCCCCATTTTTTTTAATGCCCCACTTTTATCACTCTCTAAAATAATCATTTAAAAATATTTTGTATCTAGATCTTTCTTTTGTTATTTATTCTTATATTTTAAATATTATGTTTGCATTGCTATATTTAATTTTAAGAAATATTTAAAAATGTGTTTTACTTCTTGTCAGTAAATAAATATCTACCCTCCTGTAGTCTTCCCCCTTTCCTTTGCCCATTATCTCAATTTCCAGTTTTTATAATATCTGGTCAAATTTAAAGCTATTTATGGAATTTTACTACCCTTAAATATCAGTTTTGCCAATTCAAAAGTAGACAAGGAGCAAATTATAATAACTGTGTATTAACTGTGTTTTAAACCTTAACTAGTAAGGTAGGGAGGTGCTTAACTGAGCAAGCTTAACATAGGGCCTTGGAGATGACAAAATGAGGGTAACCCTAGAGCTCTGCCATGTCATGAGGTAGAATTCAAGCTGTATCAATCTTCATTCTGTACGTACATCTACAGAGGGAGTTTCTGACAAGTTCAATTGTTTAAAAGTTCGTTTACTGTATTGGGTAATGGTTGGTCCAAAGATATGACCTATAACATTAGACTAGATGTTTAGTATAGAAAATAATATTTTAGAGAATTTGTTATAAATAAATTTATTTGTTCACTTTTATGAAGTAATTAACAAAGAAGCTAGAATTTGCCACCAATCTCTGATTAACTCACTGTGACCATGTGGGTCTTTTCTTTTTTAAGTAGTTGGCTTTTTTTTTTTTTTTTTTTTTTGGTGGAACGGGGGATTGAACTCAGGCCCTTGCACTTGCCAGGGAAGTACTTATTCCACTGAGCCATCTCCCCGGCCCCAATGTGGATCTTTTCATGATTAATATAACTACATGGGTTCTCTTTCAAGTCAAGAAAGTATCTAGAACTCTTTATCCTTGCAAGAACACTTTCCAAGAGAAATAAATGTGATTCTTAGATTCATGTTCAAGCACATAAATCAGGGATTCCTACAGGCTCATTCTAAAGCATAACATAAAATCTTATCTATAAGCACACCTTACTAGAAAGCATCATTCTCACATGGTTTATATTCTTCAGCCAGCTATACATCTTCCTGATGATAGTGGCCAGTCATCTTTACTTGCTTTGCTTTTTCTGTATGTGCTGGCCAACCTGTCCTAAAATGCTCCAAAACACAGGTCAAATGCTTATCAACATTATGTTAGAAACAACCAGCCTGCTGATGCTGCCTACCACTTCTATTTTATTTTTATTTTTATTTTTTGGTGGAACCGGGGATTGAACTTAGGCCCTTGTGCTTGCCAGGGAAGTGCTTATTCTACTGAGCCATCTCCCCAGCCCCCACTGCCTGCCACTTCACCCCCATGTAAGACTCCAATCCTCTTGGTCCTTCCAGCTACTCTGTGACTGCTACCAGGGGTCATGCTAGGACCTCCATGTGGTTCTCTCATGGAGAAAACACCACTTATTTGGACACCACTCATTCACTTGGCTGAAGCACTAGGAACTTGCCAGGAAAGAATACCCGCAAGCCAAATTATTTTGAGTCTTGCATGTCTGAAAATGATTACACCATCCTTACATTTGTTGAATGTCCAAGAATAGATTTGTAGGCTAAAAGTTATACTCCTCCTAGATTTCAACCATTATTTTACTCGATTTTAACTTTACCACCTAGAAGTCATGAAGCCACTGTGACTGGTAGTTCTCTGCATATGCTGGACCCCCAACCCCTGCCTCAAAGCTATGCGATTCTTCTCTATACCCCTGATGCTGCTCAGCACTGCAGTTATGTGCTATGGAGTGAGTCTGTTGTCTTTACTCTACATATTCATGCTCTCTAGGTCCAGGACCGCATTCTGTGTTGCTATCATCTAAGATATTCTGTTTTCTGCTTTCCTTTCTCTTTCTGGACTCCTACCATCAGCCTGGCACTGGGCCTTTTTGATCAAGTTTTTAATTTGGTCCCATTATTCCTCCTGACTTCCACTGCTTGGTCTTTCCTCCTCATATCCTTTTGTTGATTTATGGATCTTCATCTTCATCTCAGATATCCAGGGACACTAATGTTTAGAAAAATTTGCGTTCTGCATCTAATTTTTTTCCCTTCCTTTCTCTCTCACTCTCCCTCTTCACTTTTTTCCTCCTTCTGGAATGTGCTTGGCCACAGAGCACACTAAAGGGTGAGACCCTGAAAGAGTTTCTCAGAACTTTGTGTCAGTTTGTTAATCTGCTGTTTCCCTGCTAGGCTATCTTGTCATTAGGGGCCTCGCTGGATTGTATGTTGGTTTTCACCACACTCTCCTGCTTTCCAGCAAACCTGGAATGTAAGGGCTGCTTAGCTTGCTTACAGCAGCGCAACCTAACAGCACCTTCTATGGTGACGGAAATGCTCTTCCTCCTGTCAAACACAGCAGCTACTAGCCAAACATGGCTGCCAAGCCCTTCATGTGTGGCTGGTGTGACTGAGGGACTACATTTTCAGTTTTGTTTTTTTTTTTTTGTTTTCCTATGTGATTACTGCCAACCATATAGGGCAGTACAGGATAAATCAGCTTCTAGTTCCTTTTGCTTCTGTTTGGCAGAAAGACAAGAAGAGGTTGCCTAGCTACTCTAAATAAAACATTTAGAATTTCAAAGTAAGGACTATTAACTCATGAAATCTAGTATATGGAAACTTAAAATTTACTCATATCAACTTATATGAGGTTAATAGAACGTAATTTTAAAAATCAGAGGACAGATAATATGGGAGAATGAGAATGACAGTTTTAGTCTATATCACAGACTTTTTCCATATTTAACATTTTTTCAAGGCTGACTTCAAGTCCCTTGCATTAATGCTATAACCCTAATACCTGACAGAATTGGTTTCAGTGGAACAGGTCTTTTGGTCTGCGTTCTGTTCCCTCTGAAAAAGCCACATTCTGGGTACTCACTCTGTCTCCGGGCGTAAGTAGTGGTTCACTCTTATTGGTCAGTTTGTTAAGAAGAGTATAAGCCAGTTTTAAACTCCGACTCCAAAGTTTGCCTAGAATGAAATAAAAATACTAAGCAATGTAAAAAATTAAAAAATTTCTAGTTAATATTTTAATGTTGTAATTATCATACTCTGTAACACTCTTTTCTTTTTTTTTTTTTTTTTTTTTTTTTTTTTTGGTGCGGAACTGGGGATTGAACTCAGACTCTTGTGCTTGCCAGAGAAGCGCTTATCCTACTGAGCTATCTCCCCGGCCCTCTATAACACTCTTAACCTATTACTAGAAATTCAGTTTCCAACTGATAACTATTCTGCACAATGCATAGTGAACTTTTTTCTTAAAAACAAGGTATTTTTCTTAATATAAAAACAGGATTTCATTACATGAATTCTGAATATAAGAGAGTCAGCAGATAAAGTGATACTCAGAGCAAGTATATACATATATATGTATGTATGTCTATGTGTACTTTTCAAGAAAGGGGACCATATGTCATCCTTCCCTTTTTAACTGACTTTGCACTGTGTACCCATTCTCATGACATTAAATACCCCTTCACAACATCACTGACAGGTGTAGCAAGTACTGTACAATCTTCATGCACTCCATGAGGTGGCCCTATCTTCCTCTCTGTGGCTTACTTAGAAGAGCTGGGTGTGTGTGTGACCTCACACCAGGCTCAGTGGCCAATGATCACACTGTCTTGGGGAGCAGGTTCCATGTCCAGCACTCAGTCCTGCTGAGGGCTCAACAATACAGAGCTCGGCTGAGGAAGACAGGAGGCAAGACAGAGGAGAGGTGAGAGGTGTGGGGGTGTCTGGGGAGGTGGACAGAGGAAGGGGTAATGGAGTCCTCAAATGTACTCCTCAAAACTGAAGTAGCCTCAACCTCACCCTGCACAGTATTTTGAAGACTTAACACAAATATCAAATTTTGACCCCACTTAAATTCCTGTGGCACAAGCATGACATGGACAGCCACTCCCTAGGAGTGAATGCTCAAATTCCATTTTAAATAATATTAAACTACATGCTAATTCTAAAACTAGCCCTGAAATATGTAGGGCAAACAGTTAAAAGGCTCTAGCAAAAGATAGGAAAGGGAAACTCTGATGTTGAGATCATAGGTGATGGATATCACGATTATCAGGAGAGCTTGGTCTGGGCATAAGGGTGGCCAGTCAGTCAACAGGTAAAAGGACAACTGCAAGATGGTGCCCAGGATAACCAGGCCCATTTGTGATACCAGCACTCTGGGAAGCTGAGGCAACTTAGTGACCTCATTTCAAAATAAATAAATAAATAAATAACAATAATAGAAAGTGCTAGAAATGTAGCTCAGAGTTCTGGGTTCAATCTGCTGCATGGAAGGGAAGGGGGCAGGGAGGGAGGGAGGGAAAGATGGAGACAGGCAGGCAGTGTGGCAGGGAAGGAGGGAAGGAGAGATAGAGGGAGAAAAGACAAGGCAAAATCCCACGAGTATGGACAACAGCAGAGTGGGACAAATAGTCCTTCCTATAGATAAGAATGAACATGTGTTGACCTGCCTTGAAAAACTAACCTTGGAACCCATATCTACCCTGTAAACAAAATGCACTGATGAGTTCCACAGGGATGTTCTGTGTAAATGTGAACAAAACAAACAAATGTAAGCAAAACTCTTTCCAAAACTAAACAAATAACTTTATAATGGAGGCCTTTATAATAAAGGCTTTTCTTTATAATGGAAAGAAAACATGAAACAGGATAGAATTTATATTTCTTGAACCACATTACAAGTTGAAAGGCAAAGCCACACAAGGGAAAAGACACCCCTGACAAAGGGCTGGAAATCGGGGCAAAAGAGACTTACTAAAAGTAATTCTATATTCATAAAAAAAAAGTATATGAGGGGCTGGGGAGATGGCTCAGTAGAAAAAGCACCTGCCTGGCAAGTACAAGGGCCTGAGTTCAATCCCTGATTCCATAAAAAAAAAAAAAAAAAAAGAAATTCAACAGTTACTAAATCAAAGAGAACACCCAAATGATAGGAAAAGATCTCCACCCTTACAGTTTAAATCTAGAAGGTCCCCCCAAGCCCTCATGTGTTTAGAGGTAGAGTTATATGAAGGTGACTAGATCACAGTGGGGAGTTACACGCATGAGTGGATGTATCTACAGAAGAGTTGGGTGCTAAAAGGACCCACAGGAGGTGGCCCCTGTGGTCACAAGGGGCGTGGCCTGGAAGGGGCACATCTCTCTCCCAGCTCCACTCTTCATTCTATTTCCAGGCCACCGCGTAATGAGCTGCTTTCCTTCACTAGGCCCCTCTGACCCGCTGTTTTTGCCATGGAACTGGCTGACTGTGGACTGAAACCTCTAAAAATCATGAGCCAAACAAACCTTTCCCGTAACCTCTGGGTGTCAGGTATTTTGTCCCAACAATAAGAAAGTAACAAAGACACCAACATATCCACTTATCAAGAAAACACACATTAATAGCACACTGCAACAGCATGATTCTCTGACTAGATTAGTTGAAACTATCAAGCCTGACAACACACTGGTAAGTAAGTGTGACTTGGAAAAGCAAGACTGTCTAGCAAGTGTAGGAAGTCACACAATCCCAGACTGACACTTTCACTCCCAAGTATTCAGCCTAGAGAATTCATGCTGATGTGTAGGATGGCACCCCTCATTCCATAGTACTGCTTCTAATAGCCCCAGTTGGAAGCCACCAACTGTCCACCAGCAGTACACAGCATAACAAGATTCTGGAATATTCCTTCCTCAATAGCAATGATTGAATTACTGTATATATAATGTAACAGGAATAAATTCTAAGTGATCGTGCCTCAAGTAGGAAGTAAAGAAGACACCTGTTGGAGGCAGCAAAGAGTTGCTAGGCAAAGATGACTAGAAGAGTTCAGACTGCAGAGAGAGTAGCCTTGGGTGGGGGCACAGCTGTTTGTGTGGGGTATCTGTGAACCAGGCCCCCACCCGGGGTCTCACAGCATAGACAGGCCCTCAGGAAATGTGCTGAGCTCTGAGGGCTCAGGAGAAAAAGGTTTTAAAATTTACAAAAAGAATAATGAAAACTGCTCAAGAATTCTGTACTTAAAACCATGAAAACAAGGCCGCGCATGTTGATGAAATGCTGGTGAGTAGGATGGCATTCATCATATAATGCCTCATCAGGAGGCTGAGGCAGAAGGACTGGTGAGAGTTCAAGGCCAGCCTGGGTTATGAAGAGAGTTCAAAACTAGCCTAAATTGCCTAGTGAAACCTTGTCTCAAAAAGACAAAAAAAGAAAAAAAAGGTGGGAAAACATTAGTAAGAGAAATAAGGCAACCTTTAAAAAGGGACAGGCCAGGAAGATAGCTAAGTGGCTTAATTGCCTCCCTGGCAAATGCAAGGTCCTGAGTTCCATTGCCGGTACTGCAAACAAATAAAAAGTTTGGGGACCAGGGTGATGGCTCAGTAGAATAAGTGCTTCCCTGGCAAGTGCAAGGGCCTGGGTTCAATCCCCAGTTCTGCAAAAATAAATAAATAAATAATAAAAAGGGACATGCATTGTACAGTCATGAACTGTAAGATTCCATAACCATATTACTAACCATTTGCAAATTTAAGTACAGATTCAATACAACATCAACACAAACAGGAAATCTCATGGAAAATGACAAACTGGTTTTAAAGTTGACTTGGAAATGCAAAGGATCTAGAACAGCCTATGCAATCTCACAGAACAATCACAGAGCTGGAGAACACATGTTCCGGATGCTGAGACTCAGGAAGTGTGGCAACTGCGAGTGTGGACAAGCTGCCAGAGGAGACAGTCTAGAAACACACCCGCAAGTCTATTTTTTTATCTGACGTGTGACAAAGCAATGCTGTGGTATGTGGGGGAAGGACTGCCTTCCCATAAATGATACAGAGCCAACCAGACACTAATAAAGGAAGGAAATGATTCCAGCCTCACACCACACACAGAGCTAACTTCTCCATGGAGTGAAACACTTAAATGTCACAAGGGAAACAATGGAGTTTTAAAGACTTGTAGAATACCTTTATGACCTCAAGTTTGGCAAAGACATTCTAAACAGGACAAAACTAAATACAATAAAAAGGAGAAAACATAAAGAGGACTACATCAAGACTTTTTGTTCAACAAAGAGAAGTTTCAAAAGGCAAGCAAAACAGTGAGAGAAGATGACTATAAAACATGCATCTGATAAAAGGTATGCATGAAAATGAAAAGTCAGCAAAGCAAACAGAAAAATGAGTCAAAGGTTTTAACAGTTTATAAAACAATATTAAAAGTTGAGTGTGGTGGTTCATGTTTATAATCCCAGCACTCTGGGAGGCTGAAGCAAGAGGATCACAAGTTTAATCCCAAACTGGGCAATTTAGCAATTTGGTGAGACTATGTCTCTAAGTAAATAAATAATTAATAAAAGAGAATATTCAAAATACCCTCAAATCACATGAAAAGCATCATTAGCCATCATGCAAATGTAGTTCAGCAGTCTAAGCACATGCCTGGCAAGCGCAAGGACCCAGGTTTGATCCCTGGTACCGCATACTATGCTGGAATCCTGGGCCGATCCAGCCACCCAAGCTGAACATAGTGGCACATGCTTGTAATCCCAGTGCTGCGGTGGCTGAGTCAGGAAGATCACTATGAGCTGGAGCTGCGTAGTGAAACCTTGTATCCAATAAAAAAAAAAAAAATTTAAATGCATGATGCAAAGCAGCACACAACTCTACACTATAAACCACTAATTTATAATAAAAACTCAAACACACAGATAGTACCAAGTGTGATAAGGACATGGAACAACAGAACACAAGACAGCTGCTCTGGGAAGGAACTGCTACAGCCCTCTGAAAAACTGGTGCTGGATCCAGGTGTGGCGGCATGTGCCTATA